ATAGAACGGATGTGAAGTATTAATTTTACAGAATTAAAGAAGGATGTAAAGTATTGGGAGATATTTGGCTAATTGATTTTTGAGTTTTATGTGAAATAAAATATAATTTAGTACACCTCCTTAGTTTGTTTCTCTCTCTTGCAAATAGACCCTCTTCCACAGATTTTAGATAGCAAGCTCCAAGTATATAAACACCATCAATATACCGCTCGCCATTTACCATCTAACTAATTTACATAGAGTACTTGGGGCGATTTGCTACAACACTACTACTACAGGATAGATCCTAATAAGGCCTGTGTAGTTCAAATCTCAAACCCCCCACCATGCCAAAGTATCAATGATGATGTAGACAGCGTGTCGTTTCTCCTCGCCTTGACGTAGGATGTTTGCAAGGATGATACACACCAACAGGATTGCTTATCGGACTCGTTTTTAATCATCGCTGCCATATTGGTGTGTCATATTTCGGACGTCATAACTAAGTCTTCAGCTGTTTAAACCAATGAACTATAACCAAAAACTGGAATGCGCACACATTGCCATATCTGCCAAAAAAATGAAGCCATGAAAGACAGATGCCACAAGGGGGAATGTTGTTTTTTTCTGTTGCTCGCTGACATATGACGTTTTCGAAAGTTTTGTCATATTTCCCTTCACAGGTTTCATCAATTGGAATACGTGTTGGAAGCAATTTTCGCCATTTAACATAATGAGTGCGACAAAAACAGGTATCCCCTCCGCAGCAGCCGCACTCGGCTTCAAGTTCGTCCTTATGTGTTAGCATTCCAGTTTTTGGTTATAGTTCATTGGTTTAAACAGCCTACGTCAAGGCGAGAAATAACAACTGGCACAGCCTCCCAACTGGTGATTTGGCGATGTGGGGAGAGGGGGGATTTGTGCCATACAGGCCCTAGGCCGTGTTGATGTTGGAGCTGTGATAAACGATAAAAGCAACGATACTAGCAAAACAACGAAATAGAATGCCTGTGTTTGTACGCAGGTGTCTATGTTGGAGCGGCGAGTAGAGCAGCGCTTTTTTGATACTTTTGATATAGGATACTTTTGAATAGCTCATTAATTAACATTCTAAAAAAAACCTTTTTCAGATGACTACGACCGCTGGCGCAAACTGCTGACGACATCGTTGATGACTTCGCCAACGGTGCTGCACTATTTCTTTTTCAAAGCCAAGTTGACACCGTCCAAGTGCACTTGGATCAAAACTTGGACCAAGTAAGTTGGCAGCCAGCCTACTTTCTTGGACGTTAGGAACCTAAGACATATCCAACTGGAATTGGTGCCGATTCATTTGGTTGATATCACTCATTTATCACTCACTTGTAAATTATACTGTTTCTATGAATGCTTGAAACTAATCTCGGCATTAGCCAAATGACGAATGCAGGTATAGGCAAATATAAATTCGTACAAAACTCCCATTGCTAATCCGTTGTACGTTCTGCCTATGGTGCGGGCATGAGGTACACCATAGTTGAATGGGATTTTAATGCAGTGCTAGCGGCAGTGCGGTGCTCGTGTAGTGCAGTGTTATATCACGTGATGAAGGTGTAACACCGAATATACCATCATTTTGTACCGAGTAAATGGTGTTCCACCATCTTCACACCATTCGGACACCAAATTATTTCCAAAAGCAAAAAAAGTGTACACTGAACACTCCTACCAATTAACGAACGCCACAGTGTCAATAGTGTAAAAAGTTTCTACACTTTCTACCATTCCGAACTCACCTCGTAATAGCAAATAGCCACAGCGATCGACTTTAATAACGCCTTTATCCCTAGTAGTGAATAGTAAAACTACAAACCATAAATACCTTAGGTGGGTTCGGCTTTCTCACTCCTTGCACTCCGAGTGACTCCGTTCGCACTCCAGCCGTTCGGGTATTGCTTTTTGGCATATTAGGGGTGACTCCATTATGCCCGTATTATATCTGTCTATTTTTCCGTGTATTAATTCATGTAGTTCAGGATGCCAACATTATTTTCTTTTTCATAATGCTGATTTACCGTAAAACGGGGTTACTTTAGAACGGCCAGGTGACTTTGTGACACATGGTAGCGCGCGCACCAAATCCTTAACAGTTCGCGCATTTCTCAACCGCCTCGCGATTGCGCTCAAGGCATTCCAAAAAGCGCGCGAACGAATCAGTATATCAATTAATGTTGTGGAAGACGGCGTCCAGCTGTGCGTACGGAAAATATCAACAATAGATAATTTCAATATTTTACTTTTGCTGTAAACTTTACCTTGCCCAACTAAGACTATCTCATGTAGCCAGGATTTGAGTTTAGGTAGTGTTCTCTGTAGTTTTGGCTATTTACTGATGAATTAACATTTTCATAATTCTAATTAACAAGCATGTGACGCCATATTTTATAAAATTTCAACAAATTTCGTGGTGAAATTATGACACAATTTATGTGGTACTAACAATGTTGGTACCATTTTATTTGTTTTTATTTTTTTTGAGTTACTTTTTTTTAGTTTATTTTTTAAGTTTCCTTAGTTCCAAGTTAGGTATTTTTTTTTTAAACTTTTATATGTTCCTATCAAATAAACTATTTAAGTTCAATGAAATTTGTTTTTGGGGGCACTTTGTGACACATCAGTTAGACGTGCTCACGACTGAAGGGGTGAATTTAAAAGAAATCTAATAAAATTAGTCCCATTTGTATCTAATTTGTGTCATATTCTCGGCTCGCTAAACGACGACTTTGGACTTGCGTGGAAACTTTCAGGGGGAATTCTCATGAGCGTAAGTTGACATTTCTGGCGTAATCACGTGATAAAATGGTTGGGTTTTATCTTGGTTTTATTGAAAAAATATTTGACATGTTGGATATTTTACCATTCAAATTACACCATATTATCACGTGATTACGCCAGAAATGTCAACTTACGCTCATGAGAATTCGCCCTTAGTTGTCACAAAGTCCCCCCATGGATAGGGGTGAGATTGTGACAATTATTTTTGCAAACCACAGCTCTACTTCTAAAAATTATCAAAATATCTCATTGTATTTTAAAAGCCAAATGATTTAGGTTTATCATTGACCTACCAGAAATTGATTATTTCTTTTAAGATTCAGAAAAATCAACCGAAACCGTAAAATTTGTCACAAAGTAACTTCGTTTTACGGTATGTTAGGTTTGAAGTTTTTCGGTTGTCATGCCCTGAACTACATGAATAAATACATGGAAAAATACACAGATGTAATACGGGCATTAGCGTTCGACTCTACGGAGTGGAGTAAATGGAGCTCACTCCAAAAGTTCCACCTCGGAAAGAGAGTTTTAGGGCGGATCCCCACGGGCGTAGTTAGCGCAATCGGCGTAAACGTCAATTCTACGCGAATTTTAGCTTAACGTCCCGCATGTAGTGCATCAAAACCACAACAAAAACATTTTCTAACACAAACATCTTGTTTATTTTCTGCCAGGTTGTAATGAAAATTTACTTATTTGTTGTTGTAGTCCTTCTCCTTTTATTTTCTGTGATTGTTCTATCATAGGTGAGTAGGTGAGTTCGGCTTGGCAACTCTTTTGACTGCTTTGACAGTTTTCACTGCAAAATCGTTCGGGTCAGTCCACTGGGAGCAAATAGTGGAAGCTCCACATCGTTTTTGTACAGCCAAGTAGAGTGAAAATAATTAACTCCATATCCATAAGCTCCACCTCGCGAGATGAAGCTAGAGAAGCGAGTATGCGCACTTCCTATATTCCCAAAAGGTGGTAAAATCTTTCTTTAATTCACTATCCTAACAATCCTAACCTAAAGAATTCAAAAAAGATTTTTTTTGCTTGGGCTTGGTTGCCCCCTGGGGATCCTGGTAGAAAATATCCGCAGAAAAACATATTCCGGTTTGTGATGGGAATAAGCATTCGGGGGCCGCGGCATTTCTTCATTGGCAGCGGCTCGCCTTGCGTTCGACTAACCATTTTACTATTTTCGCTCTGTGTTCAGGTTACTATGAAACTGCTCTTTATCCGCTCCAACTCCGTTCTGCCAAGCTGAACTCACCTCATACATTACGTCACAATTTTGCCACGATTACGTCGAAAAGTTCTACAAAACCCAACTTTTTGCCGTAGCGGCAGCGTAATGTCAAAAATTCAAGATGGCTGCATTGCCGCCAATGAAATCGTTAAATTAAATCACATGATTAGTTACGCTTACGTCAATTACGCCCGTGGGTTCTCGCCCTTAGAGTAAGCATGCGCAGAAGTGAAATGTGGAAACTCTCAAGCTTGTTGTGTTGTCACTTGTCACGTTGTGGTTGGTAAAAAAATTAAAAATCGTCTATTTATGGAGGCGGGAATTGGTAAAATCACCGAGTAAAATAATTGATCATTGATCTGATTTTAAAATGTATTAAACATGATGGAAAAATTTCCTTTTTGGAAACTGGAACGTTGTAAAAGTCACGGTTAACTGTTGTTTTGAAACAAAACAAATTAACTGTTTGACATTTTTGCTCCGGTCGTGTATTAATTTTTCACTCTAATCACTCCTAGATAACGTGACAAAAATCTGTTCTTACTCCACTCCAACTCTGTGCTGAATAGCCAAGGTTGTGGCCAAACCCAGCTCTTAATCAAAAATAGTCCGAAAATAATTCCTACTCGAGGGGACTGTTCTATATTCTAAACCTGTTCCAGACTTATAAAGTTCTAGACGATTTCGACATAACCCGAACATGTTTTCAACTGCGCGATGCGCATCTGCACACTGTGGACTTTCAGAACAGAATTTTATAAGTTGTATTCCTTTCACACCTATGATATGAGGAGCTCCGGAGGAAGTGTTTGCTGCACCACGCATATGTTCCCTGCAAATCGGGGGCTACTAAACACCGGAGCGAGTAGCTCGAGTGCTTCAAGCTCTTGAAAGGAATACAGCTATACCTTGAGCTGTTTTTTCTCGCAAGAACCTTGACTTGAACCAAACTTTTTCATATGAGTATATTTATAATTTGAAAATCTACAGTTTGCACAAATTTTATTTTTACATTCAATATTAAAATTGAAAATAATCATATCACATCACAAAACAAAATAATTCGGAGATAATCATAATTGAAGACATTATTAGTACCTGTTGAATAGGTAAGATCTAAACATTAACTATTTTTAAAATAATCAACAATCTTCATGAAATTTAATATCCAATTTTTTAAAATATCTATGATGCATGGTATAATATGTATGTAGCATTGTTAGCTGATCTGGGAATACAAAATTAACATAGATTTAACAATAATTATGCTTACTCTAACAAAATTAATCTTATTTATAGAAGGTAGCTAAAATTATGGAGTCAGCAGTTCTCGCAGTAATTTAGTAACACAATAGGACATTGTGTAATTTGAGAGACAAGTAGCTACAGCTTGGTCAAATGAGGTTGTATATTTTCATATAACATCAACTTCTTCATCAAACGAGTATAATCAGGTAGTCTTCAGCATTGATTCTTTTGAGTCTACATTCAAATACACCATAAGGGGTGGCAAGTACAGCAGATAATGATATCATCAGAATAATAAATGTATTCTCAAGCTTCTTATAAACAAAGGCATTGCAATCTTGTTTGCAGAGTAATGTAGACAATTTTGAAGGAGGCCTCTTTTTCTTAGCTGGACAGTATTGAAATTAAATTTTAGACTTAATTCTCTATCGCATAGCTTCTCCAAGATAAGAATGATGCAATGCTTTCATTTTTGAAAATCCTGCATCTCCAGTTGAACAAGGAAGACACCACTGCAGCACAGCAGTGTTCTGTGTCTTATCAAAATCTTTTGAGTTTGTGAAGCTATATGGTTTTTGAGAAGTCTCACTCAAATGGTTTATAAAAAGAAATTAACATGTGTGGCGTAGCTTCAGGACTCTGTCCTGAGACCATTCCTTTCTCTGTTGTATATCATATCAATGACCTGCCTGATGTTAGAAGCAAATTTAGTTTATTCGCTGATGAGACTACTGTACTGTGGCATGGTAGGGATACTTACATCAGGAAAAGCCTACTGACTTTTGAAAGCTGCTACACTAAAGCCTGTTGAGATATGGGGACATACATGGTTTTTGAATCAGAATACTCCAAATTTTTAGAGTGGCATATTGATAAAACCTTGTCTTTTCGAGGGAATGTTTCTGCTTTTTGGCAGGGGTTGCTTTGCTCTAAAAGTTGTTTCCAGACAGCTAGACGCCTTTGTTGCACTTGTCACAGGGGTGTACTATGATTTCATATAAGAAAGAAGTTGTGAAGCTTTGTCAATGTAATACCATGCATTACATACTTATACAACAAGGCATGTTTTGATTTGAAGACCAGAAGATTTGGTACATTTCTTGGACTTTGTACCTAGTCTTTGGCCAGAGAATGGTTGATCGGAGATTCAAAGGGTAAGTATAGGGTTGCCAGATACTTGAGTTTTGAAAATAGGAGACCCTGTATAAAATTATATGAGATAGAATAATGATATATGAGAATATTTTATGTACTGCAAAATGCCCAAATCCGAAAAAGCTCCCATCTTGACAATTAGCTATGATTTTTAGCAGATGTTGGAATTTATTGCTGGCAATCCTTTTGAGAAGTTAAGTTAGATACTCCTCCTGATCCGTCAGTTTCATTTCTTGTAACAAGTGTTGGATAACACCTTGAGTTTTTTGATGTTTCTCTGACCCAAAATCGTTTTGTGTTTACTTTTATTTATCATCTACAAACGTGACAAAAGTAAAATTTCATTAGTTCGACGCCTTATTTGAATTTGAGGTTCCATTATCGACCATTTTAAGCTTAAAACGCAAATTAAGAATTGTTTTACTGTTTTGTTCACTTTTTACTGTTCACCAATGAGTCAAAAAAAGGTTAAAAACGATCCGAAAACGGAAGGAGTTAAAATTATTTCATCTTTGACGTCAGAAAAAAATTGAAAATATTCGGGTAAAAAGTGGCGGAAAATAGGAGCTCTGTCGTACCATCGGACAGTCGCATAACAGACGCATGACACTCTGGCCAATCATGTGTATGGTAGAAATATACGGTTTCTTTTTTTTTGAGGAAAATAAATGAGAAATAGTCTCATATTGAACATGCTAATAGGAGATTTGAGACACAGTCAAAATATATGAGTCTCATATTAAAAATAGGAGGTCTGGCAACCCTAGGTAAGTACCTGTACTAGCATGTAATAGATGCATAAGATTGAATATTTATTTAGCAACATATTCAGTAATATTGTGTTAATTGGTAATATAGAATATTTTCATAAATCAATCTGCATAAGTCTTGGCATAAGTATTTCGAATATCCAAAAGCCTGTCTATTTGGTCTTGGGTATTTGCTCTTATTCCAATTCTTATTTCCGCTCTGCAGTCTAATATACATTCAAAACGAAACAAGGCTGATTGATATTTCAGAGACCGATGTGAAAATTTCATTTACCATTCATTAAAAAAATCGCTTGGACTCATGGATTTTTATTTCTTGGGGGATAGATTTTGCCCATATCATCAACATTGTTACTTTCACCCCTTTGGTGGTGATCTCCAACCCTAAAATCTTCAATCGGAATAGGGGTAGAGTGAAACCTTATTTTAAAGGCAATCAAATTCTCTTCCCAGCACATCTTAGTTTTGCCAATTTGATGCAGCGGTTTTTGGAAAAATTGGGGTAGAATAATAAAATGTTATTATTTTCAACTCTGTCATTTCAACCTCATTCAGGGGTAAGCTGCAACGCTTAAATTAATTAAATGGGATTCAAGGTCTTTTTCTGGAAGAAATATTTCTTTTTGAGCTTAGCTTTACGGTAGGGTTCAGGTTCACAAAGAAAGATGAGACAAAATGTAAATTGTATTTTTTCATAATTTGTCCAGGGATTAAAAAACACTTTAGTCTTGAGGTGTATACATTATTTTATGCACTTAATTTTATTTCCTAGGGATTAAATCTCGAATTAAATAAAACAGGGAATAAAAGGGAACTTTTAATCCCCGGGAAATAAAGTAAAAATTTAATCTCCGGGAAATAAAGTAAAAATTTAATCCCCGGGAAATTAGGTAAAATTTAATCCCGGGGATTAAAAGACCCACTTTACTCCCTTAAAACAGGGATTAAAAGGGTACTTTTAATCCCTGAGGTGTCTAAAAATAAATAAAGGGGTTGAATTAGGTGACCTTGCGGCCCCTCTATTGGTCCTCTTCGGCCAATCCATCTATCAGAATACGTCCGATTTAAATATTCCCAAATGGTAAATAAAGACGAGGGATAGATATACTTATAAAAGATATCCGCAGATTTCTCCTACATATTCCAGATTACTCGGGATCCCTCTAAGATTTCTTCGGATTTCCTTGAATCTCACAAGGTTTTGCTAGATCTCCCTAATTTTCCGGGGATTTCATAGAATATGAAGGACAAGTGCACAGCCAAAACACAACTCCTGATCTTCTCCTTAACACAACATGTCTATTTTCTCTTGATCTATTACTTTCCTGGCAATATCAAAGCTACATTTATCACAATATGAGGTATATTTTTATTCCAGTGGGACCTTATTCTATAACAGGGGAGCTGCGTTCCCAGGAGAACGAGTGTTCTGTCTTTGTTATTACATTATCAGTTGCATATCATTGAAAAAGACGGAACACTCGTTCTCCTGGAAACCTTGCTCCCTTGTTTCAAGAATAAGGACCCTGGTAACATGATATCCTGTCGAATATTCTCAATCAGAAAAATTAAAGTTCAGTAAAATTTCCCCCATGTATCCCTCACATCTCCCATAAACCTCCTCAGATTTCCCCAAATCTTCCCAGATTTTCTTAAGATTGTCCAGAAATCTCCCTCAGGGTTGTCATACTCAAATACCCATTTTGAAAACCCAATGGGTTTTTGACAAAAAAACCCACCATGGCCACCATCAATATTTACAAAAACCCAGTGGGCTTTTCGTGTTAAAAACCCATTCATACAGAAATAATTATTAACTGCCTTATTTAGGGAAAAATGTATTAAACAAAAACTCATCCTTGCCATAGTGACCACAGATTGACAAATATACAAATATTTGGTTATGACGTTTTTACATAACTATTTTTGCAGTATTTGAGTTATGTCATGAGGCTCATAACACAACTAGTTGTGTTATGGACTAGGTTATGAATTCATAACACAACTAGTGGTGTTATGGACAAGGTTATGAATTCATAACACAACTATTTTGGGTTATTTGACAAATTTCAAAGGTAAACCTGTAAAGGTAAAATGAAGGTATAAAACCACTAATAAACGAAAATGATTGAAAAAAAATTCTTATATTTCGCTTTGTAGATAAAAAGTTGTACATCACACGTGAGTTTAAACATGACTACAAAACTCGTGTGATTAGAACGACTCAATCTACGACCTCGTCGTTCTAATCTTTCACACTCGTTATTGTAATCATGTTCATAAATGCACTAGTAATGTAAATAACTATTATTGGTCAATCGGACATAAATAATTTTACAGGGTACCAACAATGGTAAATTAATAGAGAGTAGTAAAGAGAAAAAAACCACTCCACCACACCAACATTATTCTTGCTCTGGATCTGAGAAATTCAAAACTTGGCTTCAAGATTTATGAGCCAATGAAGCTTCTTCTCAAATCTTTCCCTGGATGCATTTTTCCGTTTCCTATTTGGTTACCGCTACATGGAGCGCTAATCCTTTATGGCTTGTAAAATTATATCTGGTATCCCGTTTCCTATTAGGCTAGCGCACATTGTCTACCGCTACATAGAGCGCTAATAATCTACCTAGCACTTGTTAAATTGTATCTGACGTTGCGTTTCCCATTAGACCAGCGCACACCCTCTGCGATCGTCTGCAGGCATCCATCGCAATGCATTATCGTTGGTGGTTACAGGTGGTGCAATAATTTTGTAATATTTCTCGTTGTATCTCGTTTTGTTATTTCTGTTGATTCTACAATGAGAAATCCTCTAGCCAAAAATTCTTTACTGATGGATTTTCGGCTATCAGCAGAAATTTTAGCTGTAATTGCAAAACGATCCTATTCTAGTAGTAGAACGCATTTTACTAAGTTAGCAAAAAGTACCTTGG